ACCTGAGACACGCCCTGAGACACGCCCATCTGAGCCACGCCCATCCCCTCCCCAAATCCCTCCCTGGGGCTGGGCGGGCTGGCCACGCCCACTGCTCTTGGCCACGCCCACTGCTCTTGGCCACGCCCACTGCTCTTGGCCACGCCCACTGCTCTTGGCCACGCCCATTGCTCTTGGCCACGCCCACTGCTCTTGGCCACGCCCACTGCTCTTGGCCACGCCCCACGTGGATCCACACCCACTGGCTCCACCCAGGCCACGCCCACCCGCCGCAGATGTTCTCGTGTGAATGCTGCCCCAATAACCACACCCCCTTTAAACCACGCCCACTTTCATGTAAAACATAATTATGCAGACCACACCCTAATTTATGCAGATGACACCCTATTTTATGCAGACCACACCCTAATTTACGCAGATGACACCCTAATTTATGCGACCCGCACCTCCTTTTCCATAGACCCCACCCATGGTCTCCCACTAGTGCTGCCCAAGTAACCCCGCCCCTTTCACTGGCCACACCCTTTAAGCAAACTACCCCGTTTATGCAGACCACACCCTAATTTATGCAGCCCACACCCTAATTTATGCAGACCCAACCTAATTTATGCAAGCCACGCCTCCTTTTACAGACCCCACCCACCCGTCACAGCGTTGATGGTAATGCGCCCGCAGTAGCCCCGCCCCTTTGGCCACACCCTCTTTCTACGGACCACCCCCACTTTTATTCATACAATGCCTTAATTTATGCATGCCACACCCTAATTTATGCAGATCCATACTAATTCATGCAAACCACCTTTTACAGACCCCACCCTCCATCACAGAAGGTGGCGATAGCAGTGCTGCCCAGGTAACCCTGCCTTTTACTGGCCACGCCCTTTATGCAAACCACCCCAGTTTTATGCAAATCACCTCTAATTTATGCAGACCACGCCATAATTTATGCAGACACACCCTAATTTATGCAACCCGCACCTCCTTTTCCATAGACCCCACCCATGGTCTCCCAGTAGTGCTGCCCAGGTAACCCCGCCCCTTTCACTGGCCACGCCCTTTATGCAAACCAACCCCACTTTTATGCAGACCACCCCCTAATTTATGCATACACCATAATTTATGCAGACCACGCCCTAATTTATGCAACCCACACCTCCTTTTCAATACACCCCACCCATAGTCTCCCAGTAGTGCTGCCCAAGTAACCCCGCCCCTTTGGCCACATCCTTTATGCAAACCACCCCCGTTTTATGCAAATCACCCCCTAATTTATGCAGACCACGCCCTAATTTAGGCAAACACACCCTAATTTATGCAACCCACACCTCCTTTTCCATAGACCCTACCCATGGTCTCCCACTAGTGCTGCCCAAGTAACCCCGCCCCTTTCACTGGCCACACACTAATTTATGCAAATCACACCCTAATTTATGCAGACCACGCCCTAATTTACGCAGGCCCCGCCCACCTGTCGCAGAAGGCGGAGATGGTCTCCCAGTAGTGCTCGTGCACGGCGAACCACTCGCAGTCGCCGGGGCCGATGTTGATGTTCACCGAGCAGAAGTTGTTGTTCTCCTGGTGGCCTGCGGGGGACGCTGTCACCGTCACCGTCACTGTCACCGCCACCGTCACCGCCACCTCGTGCCACCCCCCGGGACACCGAGACTGGGGGGCTCTGCCCGCTGTCCCCCCACCGCTGTCGGTTTTTGTTGCCTCCCACGAGAAAAGAATCCCACAAAAAACCAAAAAACCCCAAAAAAACCAAGAAAACCAAAAAAAACCCCAAAAAAACCCTCCAAAAAACCCCCAAAACAAAACAAAAAAATTCCCAGCAAAGTTCCTCAGAAAAATCCTCCCCAAAAAACATCTCAAAAGAAACGGCAGGAAAAATCCTAAAAAAGCTAAAAAAAGCCAAAAAATCCCCCAGGTGTGTCCAGGTGTTCCCCAAGTGTACCTAGGTGTGTCAAGGTGTGTCCCCAGGTATCCCCAGGTGTGCCCAGGTGCCCCCAGTTGTGCCCAGGTGTGCCAAGTGCCCCCAGGTGTGACCAGGTGTGTCCCCAGGTATCCCCAGGTGTTCCCTGGGCATCCCCAGGTAACCCCAGGTGCGCCCAGGTGTGTCCCCAGGTATCCCAGGTGTGCCCAGGCATGCCCAGGTGTGTCCCCACATGTCCCCAGGTGCCCCCAGGTGTATCCCTGGGTGCCCCCAGGTGTCTCCAGGTGTATCCCGGGTGTCCCCAGGTGTCCCCAGGTTCCCCAGGTGTTCCCTGGGCATCCCCAGGTGCTCGCAGGTGTGTGCCCAGATGCCCCCAGGTGCCCGCAGGTATCCCCAGGTGTATGCCCAGGTATCCCAGGCGCCCCCAGGTGTGTCCCCAGGTGTCCCCACATGCCCCTAGGTGCCCACAGGTGTGTCCCCATATGTCCCCAGGTATCCCCAGGTGTCCCCAGGTGTGCCCGCAGGTGCCCCCAGGTGTCCCCAGGTATCCCCGGTGTCCCCAGGTGCCCCCAGGTGTATCCCCTGGTGCCCGCAGGTGTGTCCCCACCTGTCCCCAGGTGTCCCCAGGTGTTCCCCAGGTGCCCCAGGTGTGTCCCCACGTGTCCCCAGCTGTGCCCAGGTGTCCCCAGGTGCCCCAGGTGTGTCCCCACATGTCCTCAGGTGTGCCCAGGTGTTCCCCAGGTGTCCCAGGTGTGTCCCCACCTGTCCCCAGGTGTCCCCAGGTGTTCCCCAGGTGCCCCAGGTGTGTCCCCACGTCCCCAGGTGTGCCCAGGTGTTCCCCAGGTGTGCCAGGTGTGTCCCCACATGTCCCCAGGTGTATCCCCAGGTGTGCCCAGGTGCCCCCGGTGCGCGGCGCTGACCCGGCGTGCGGCTGCCGGGCACTTTCATGTAGAGCTGCACGGTGTTCATGCCCAGGATGGTGTGGCCCACGTGGCTCAGCATGTTCCCCGTGGAGGAGACACGCATGAAGGCCGGCAGCTTCAGCAGCTCCTGCAGCTGCGGCTTCCACCTGCGCAACGGGGACGGGGACGGGACACAGAGGGGACGGGGAGGGGACAGGGACACGGAGGGGACAGGGATGGGGACGGGGACGGGGATGGGGACAGGGAGGGGACAGGGAGGGGACAGGGACAGGGAGGGGACAGGGACAGGGACAGGGACAGGGACAGGGATGGGGACAGGGACAGGAAGGGGACGGGGAGGGGACGGGGATGGGGACAGGGAGGGGACAGGGAGGGGACAGGGACAGGAATGGGACAGAGGAACAGGGACAGGGATGGGGACAGGGACAGGGACAGGGACGGAGGGGACAGGGACAGGGACAGGGGACAGGGGACAGGGACCGGGACAGGGATGGGGACACGGAGGGGACAGGGAGAGGACAGGGATGGGGACAGGGACAGGGATGGGGACAGGGAGGGGACAGGGACACAGGGAGGGGACAGGGATGGGGACAGGGACAGGGACGGGGGACAGGGAGGGGACAGGAATGGGACAGAGGAACAGGGACAGGGACAGGGATGGCGACAGGGACGGAGGGGACAGGGACGGGGAGGGGACAGAGACAGGGATGGGGACAGGGACAGGGACAGGACAGAGACAGGGGACAGCACTGTCACCCACTGAGCCCCCAAATTCACCCACAGGTGTCCCTGCAGCACCCACGGGTAACCCTGACCCCCCCCCCATCGTCACCCAAGTGTCCCCACCCCCACATTCTCACCCAAGTGTCCCCACTGTCCCCCACCCCC